TTAATAAAATTGACAACGTTGCATCTCAGGTTACCCTAGAGAAGTCGTCGGAGTCCAGCTCTCACGATGTTTAGGCTAGAGCCCGGCGACTCTCTTATCACAAGCGATTTCCGTTACTTCGCTGATGATGAATTTTATTCATCATCAACGAAGCAGTTAAAATTTTTGAATTAAAAATTTAATTAAATATTATAAATTTAACGGGAACGTAACACTAGTTTAATTTTTTTAAGCACAGGACTTTATTCAAGTCTTTAGTTGGAATTATGAAATTTTTATTCAAAAAAGTTAGCGCAAAAACTGTCTTTAATAAATCATCATCATGAATTATTTTCAGATATTTAAACTCAATTTATATTTTGCTGAGAAAAATTTTTAGAATGTTTATTAATAATAATACAAGAAAAACAGTAATAGGATTCAAACCCGGTTAAGCATTGTTATTAAACGAATGTGCGAGTAATCCAGATTAAAAAACACTTCTCGTGCAGAAAAGTTTAATTTCATAAATTGAAATACTACAAAAATTTTTTTTAATTTTTGAATCATAATATAATAAATAAAATAACATAATACTCTTTGTAAGGCGCGCAGTAGCCTATCGGATCCGGCCCTTGCTTACCAAAGCATTGGACCGGGTTCGAGTCCGGCGTACACCAATGAATATTTTCAATATTTAAGTGTATTATTCTGCTCAGCCCAAGAAATACAAACGAGTTCCAATCTCAAAAGTTTACCCCCTACCGTAGTCGCTCATGACCTTAGTAGTTTATGCGACTTTAAACAAATAAAAAAAAAAAAATAATAATAATAATATTAATATCAGAAAATGATATTAGCTAGTACAGAACGGGGGAGAGAAAAAACAAATTGAATACTGTTTTGGTGCACCGGCAGTGATAAATAGCTTCGACATACGAGAAGACAATTAATTTTAACGTTGATGCAAACAAATATACTTTTATTTTTATAATTATAAAAATAAATAAACAGTAAAGTTTTGTTAAAAAATTAATAAATATTTTTGTGTAAATATATATGAAAATTTAAAAGTATAAACAGAGAGATAAATATCATAACACACTGATCAATTACTTTGACAATAATTTCATTGTACACAATATTACCTCAATAATAAATATACTTTTGTATTTTCATTTATAGTATATAAATATATATTTTCAATAAATGGATTAACTCAACAACATTTTACTTTGAAAGTTAAATTAATTGATTATTTTGTGAGTGTTGTGGAGAAGCCATATTTTAACTACATACTTTAAGAAACCTATAGAATGACTTTACTTGTACAAGCTACATATATATATTATTTTTTCATGAGAAAATATTTTTTTTTATTAATTATAAACTTTATTTTTATTTATATATCAAATATCACTAATAGAGAGAAAATAAATTTATTTTTATCCGGAAAAATATTTAAAACCAAAAACACAAAAATTTTATAAACATAAATAAATAAATAAAATTATTGTAATTTATTTATGTAGTATTCGATTATAAATAATTATTTTATACTTCAAGTATTTTTTAAATTAAAAAAAAACTTGATAAAATTTTTTTTTATTATTTACTATTTTATTTTTAGTGTTTAAAGATGAATCACTTGACTTATTTTTTTCATGACTGAGCACACGTTTACTTGAACTACTGGATCGAAGAGAAGTTGTATAAGCGACGGCGCATCGACCAGTAAGACTGATGCTGCTACAATATCAGCTATAACCAAAAACCACTATACGACTAGTATGTAATACAACAACACTTGGATAAACATATTTAAATATGAAAATAACGCTATCGTAAAAATATTTATTCATCCCTATATTTTGTAAACTTTAGCGAGGCGATAATAATATTTATCTCGTTATTAAAAAAAAAATTATTCCGTAATTTGTTTATTTTTTTTTTTTTTTCATTTCAACTGCAAACATTATTTGATAAAAAGTTTTTTAATCAATAAGTTTAATAGCAAAAAGATAAAAGCAGTTAATTAAAACTCTCAAAATCGTGATTCTATTATAGTTAAACCAAATACTTGGTTATTATCTCAGATAGGTTCCCGAGTTAAGTGGCTCTCTCAGTTCATGCGGAACCTATAATAATGACGAGTAAAATAAAAATTTTAAATTAACGCAAAGATAATTTTTATTTCAATATAAATTGAAATATTATTTGTAAAATTTATTTACTCCGAGCTAATATAAAAATGTAAATGAAATAATTTTAAAAATTCGAGTGTATGTTATATTAAAGTAAGTGAGAAAATGTAATAAGAGATAGTGGTACGGTACATCTTTGCAAGCTCAACCATTACCCTCACTCATACACTCTTTCTCTCGTTCATCTACCCTCACACAAATCCAACTCGTACCCACTTATACTACACTAGCTCACCGGGAAAAACCTCATCCCCACCAATTTCACCAACCATCCTACTCGACACAGCTCGACATTGCTCGACACACCCTTCACGCGTCGCTGCGGTACACGATGCATTCGTCAGAGTAAGAGAAATGCTACTGTACACTTGACAACCATTGCCTATCCGCTAAACACGATAGCTCAAGAGACTTGATTGTAAAACCGAGTAACCAAAATTTTTTTTATATTCATACATTTTTTTCTCATATTCTTAAGTACTCTATCCTCAACATTAAATTACTCAGTGCGCTCAAGTGTAATCGCTTCAACGAAAAAAAATTCACAGTACAACCACAAAGTATGCTGAGAGCTTTAAAGAATTTTTTTAAGTTTGAAAATCATTAGAGCGTGTTACTATTGTACGATAAAAAATATTAAACAAATTGTTAGAACTGAAATTAGCTTTGATAATTTCACTCATAATTTTCAAAAATTATGTACAATATTTTATACACGGACAGTTTTAGATTTTATTAAAATGATTAATTAAAAAAATTTTTTTGGTAATTATTTACAAGTAGGGTTCACCCATGCTGAGCGATGTTAAATTTTTTTTTTTAATTGTTCGTTTTTTTATGTATTTTTCAAAAAAAGATAAAATATAAATTTTATCCAAAAATGTGAAAGCCAATTTTTTTTCAACTTTTAAAGACAAAAAAAGCTATCGAAATCTTTATTTTTTTCTGTCACAACATTTTTTATCATAAATTCGCCGTAAAAACAAGTTTAAATGCTAATTTTTTTCCTAGATATGGCCAAAAATAGGGTGAACCCCATTTGTAAATAATTATCATTTTTTTTTTTTTTCAAATAATACAATGCACAGTAAAAAATTTTGCTTCATTGTGTCAAAAAATTTTATGTTAAATATTTAACACTTTTTTTGTGTTGATTCACATTTATTCTGTTGAATCAACACAACATATAAAAGTGTTAAATATTTAACATAAAAATTTTAAACACTGAGTTTTTTGATGGAATGACGTAAAATTTTTTACTGTGTGGTATAAACTAATATTTCAATATTCTTGATAGTAATTAATGGAAAATAAAAATTTTTAATATTTTTTATAATAGCAATAAAATCAATTTTTTTAATTCAGATAATCTCAAATTAGTTTATTAAAAATAAATAATAAGAAAAAGTGACTTACCACATCTATTAGCTGTGAGAGTTTTAGCTTGATGCACACACGAAGAACATCCGAAGTGTTGACTACAGGCCGTACCAATTTGTTATAATTAGATAAAAGGTCATCATAAAGACGTTTTGCATCAGGATTACCGGCAACCGCGCCATGTACTACAAGTGCAGATAGTAACCAAACCCGAAGAGTTTCCCCGATTATAGGGGACATTATGAACCTGATTTACCCCCACAATGTTGACTGTTGATATTTTGTTTAATTTTTTTTCTTCTCTTAAATCCACTAGTGTGTCTGTCTGTTGGAAAAAATAAAACAAAAATGAAGTATTAATTTATAATCAAAATTTTAAATAAAATAATGATTTTCTTTCTTTAGAAAAAAAAAAGCTTTTTCTGGGTTGTAAGTCTGAATAAATAATCTTTCCATTCAAGCGTTTAATACGCTCTTAGTTTTGTATAAAGTGCTTTTTAGAAAGACTAAAAAAAAATTCAATAAAGCTGAGTAATAATATTTGTCGGATCAGGATTCTAATGTTGTGGAATTCAAATAAAATTCCAGCGTCAACTGGACGGCAAGGAATTTAAGAATATTTTTATAAAATAATTTTAGCCGTGATTTTGTGCATAGATCTAAATCGCAGGGTCAGTAGTAAAATTGTAAACAATTTAAAGATAATTTTGCTTTTAGCTTTGAAATTGGTGAATACTCAATTGGTAACTTTTCGAGTGAATCCAAGACAAGATGATGTGAAAAGAGGTAACGCGACTATTTACATACATACTCAAGTACTTATATAAATAGGAATGTTTCAACAGTTGAGTGTTTTATCAAGAACTTTATGGTATTTATTTTACCGATAACACACATAAATATTTATGATAAAAAAACAACAAAATAGTAACCTTGTTAAGATATTTAGTAACTTTAATTTTTAATTTATTAATTTATTCATTATTGGTTTATTTAAATTGTTTGTAGAAAAAAAAAAATATAAATCGATGATTTTCTATTTAAGTAATTGAAAAGCTCCGTGATACGATGTAATTATAAATTTAAAAAGTTTATTTTTATTTTAAGGCTGATAAATTATACGTTCGTTAGCACAAAGGATTAAGTAAATTGTGCTCTGGTTGTCTTAGTGATTGAGATTAACCCGAAACCAGGAGATGAGATTTGCCATAACTCGCTTGGCACGTAACGGGGTGGACAGCCTTCACGCGTCGTATTTCAACCTGTACTGTTATATGTATTACTCCCAAGCATACCTCTGGCTATTGATAATTATTTATTATAATAATAATAATAACAATTTTATACTAAATAATCTTAAATTTGTGTATAATGAAAAAAAATTCATTAGTAACTAATTTAAACGTTTAAATTAAGATTTTTATCCCAAGATTATAAAATTAATAAAATTTATGATTTATTTTAAAAAAAATTTTATGAGTAAGAAAATAATTAAAATTAACATTGAGTAAAATTGAAATGATTTTTTTCTACTTTAAAAGTTAAAAAAAAAATTATTAGAGTTGAGAAAAAAAAATCGAATTTAGAGCAAGTGCAAATAAGGGATGAAATAAAGTGGTTTTTTTGTTTTTAAATTAAACAAACCTCACGTCTAATGTTTTACGAATCGCGTTACACGTTTAACGTCTTACGTAACACTCGAATCTAAAATTCACAGGATTATTAAAGCAGTAATTAGCGTAACAAGATAATCGGAGCTTTCACTGTACGCACTTTTTTCACAACTGGTCACAATCGGTCATATCACTACTGCTCACGACAGAGACTAGCGGGCTAGCGGGTGGGTTGTGACCGCCAAGCGGATTCCTCCTGAACTTTACTCGCGAGAGGCGCCACCGTGGCAACACCTACACCCTCCTCATCGACATATATACCCTATATAGAATGTACATAGAAGTAAGAGGTGAAGAGGAGTTTCGGGGTTGCTTGGTAGCAAACTACCGATATAGTCAGCCCAACGAAAAGGGATGAAAGGACTGAAAACCGAAAAAAATTCATAAAAAGCTCAAGCTTTAACAGATTGTACTTTAATAGGAGGTGTAGGCGATTTAAGGGATAATTTAGATACTAATTGAGGGCTTAAGAGAATTTTTTATCTAAAAAAAATACTTTTGTTTCCTTTCGTGTCCTTTAAAGTCCTTTATCCAGTGGCGGATTGCGCGCGCATATCTTTAAAAATGACAATATCTTGGAAAACTAAGACGAAATGTAAAACTTGAATCGTGCATCGTGGATCGTGAAACAGTATCCGTTAAAGGTGCGGCAAAAATATGTTGACTACGCCCGTTCCAACTTTGAAGTAATCTGAAAAAGTTCAATAAATTTATAGTTTAGTTTTTTTCATGTTTGTGATTTATTTTATTATTGTTTATATTTTGAACTTTAAATAAATAAATTTTTTATTTAAATTGAACTTTTATATAAATTCACTATTTATTTTTAAATTGTTAAATTTGTATTTTTATAATTGAATAAAATAAAAAAAGAGGTCAAGATAAAAAATAATATTAATTTTTTTAGTTAAACTTTGAAAAAATTAATGAAATATTTGAGGTTTTTTTTAGTAAACAAATGTACATAGTAATTTAATAATAGAGTATTATTAAAATTCTTATGTAATTTTTGCACAGATCCTGGCCGGGGCAATCACTTGTGATTAAGTTTTACACTCCCTACGGCAAAGTCGACCTTTTACTCACTTGTACAATCCAAGTGTCTCATGTCCTATATATTCTATCTATATATATAGATTATATATACTTTAAGAAACTTTTTGAGACGTTCATTTCACAAGTAGAATGATAAATTGGAGTTCGGTATAAAAAAATAAAAAAGGAGAAAAAAAGATTACGAAATGCCAGTAAGAAAACTTTGATCAAGTTTGTAACTGTTCCGGTTTCGTGACAAGTCTGAATTTAAGCTCAAAGAGAAAAAGTTTCATAGCTGCAACTTATTATCAATTCTAAAAAATTAAAATTCATTACAAGTGGGATCGTTGACAAAAAAGAATTGATAGTTGTGTACAGTATTGTTTTACAAATTCACACGCAGAAAGATGAATGTAAATAACAAGAATGAAGGACTGGAATCAATACCGGAAAAAAAAATAATTGAGGGAATTTTTATTTCCTGGTTAAATTTTAGGAGGAAATAAAAATTAACTGCATTAATTTTTTTCTTTCAAACAAACGATTTAATTAATTAAAAATTACATAAAAATTTTTTTTATTACTGATAGTAATTTTGAAGAATTTTATCATTTTAATTTTAGTAGAAAAATTTTTAAATTAATAAATTTTACTTGACTTAAAAATTTTTTGTCTTTATTCAAGACAATTAAACTATTCAAAATTATTTTCTTGGGTCAAGAATTTTTTTTTTTTCAGTGTAGAGATCAATGTTGGTCTGACCCTTTACTGATTTACCTACTTAAAATTTAGAATCGATTTTGTTTCTTCTTCTTATTTTTATTATCTGAAAATCAACTCCCGGAAATAAATTTAATTCGACTACAGTGTACTATTGTCGACGTGAGCGACCCTGAGGGAAAACTGGCACAAATTCACGGCAGACTGGACCTTGGAGGATGACATTATGGGTCGAGTAGTCGCGATGAATGCAAAGGAAATCCGAAAGGAATGAACCGTAATATTATGGAGAAGTTGGCAACTTACCAATAATCTTTTCGGATCAGCATCACTCAACACAACATATCACCTAAACTTTTACCCACTACTGACACTTGAAATCTCCTCTGAAAGTAATTAGAATTACTAATAAGAAATTAAAGTATGTTATAATTATATAAGCTTAAAATTTCTTAATTTTTACTATATTTGATGCAAGTAATTGAAAAAATGAAAATCAGTTAGTGTGGATATAGTTTAAAAAGTTATGTAGGAGTGACATCACTTTCATCACATCTATTACATTGTCTAATTATTCGAGCACAAATTCAAAGCTTTCAAACTAGCTCTCTTCCTTTTCATCTTATAATTAACAAGTCTGTAATGAATTTCCGTGAGGAAATGTTCCATTACAAAATTACACTATCTCTCTCTCTCTCTTTTTCCTTTTCTATACAATTAATAATAAAATTTAATGATAGCTTCAAGATATTTAATTAAATTCGATTTTAATTATAAATTAATAAACTTTATGATTATTTTTAATTTTTACTTAAAAAACAGAGTAAATAACATCTGAAATAATTAATTATATTAATTAAATTATAAAGATAAATATCTTTGAATAATTCTTACGATATATGTCGAAAAAAAATTTTTTTTTCATACTATAGTCTTCCGGGACTTTGCTAACATTGCGAATAGTCTGAAAAAATTAATTTTTAGTAATTATTTACATTACCTGTACAATTTGTCATTATAAAGTTAAACTTTTAATTTATTTTTATTTATATGTGTGTATCTAATTAGATTTTTTTTTAAATGGTGAGCACATGAATTAAATGACAAAATAAAATTTTAGCTTATAAAAATAAAAATTAAATAATACAATTATCTAACTACAGTTTTTTAACAATTTATGTGTTTATTAAAAAAAAATATATATTAGAAATTTAATGACACTTAAGTTGACAGACGTTAAAAATTTTTTTATGATGAAAAAAATTCCACACGTGAAAATTAATAAAAATTTTAAGAAGCATTTTTTTAATGACATTAAAGTTAGCAGATGAAAATTAAGTTAGCCGACATTTGAAAATTTTTAGAACTTTTTTTATTAAAAAAATGATTGCAAAATAATAAAAAAAAAAAAATTTCATTTGTAAAAAATTCAAAAAACTACACGTGCAATTTTTTAAAAATATTTTGTAGTTACAATTTAATAAATTAAGCAAAATAAAATAATTTTAAATGTCGGTTAACTTTATTATTATAGTTAGCAGTTATTTGGCCATTTTTTAATTTTTTTTAACAAACGAATTTTGTGTAAAAAATTATTTTCAAGAAATTGCATTTTTTATTTTTTTTAATTTCTACATGTCAATTTTTTTTTTCTAATTTTTTTTGCTCCAATTTATTTATTAAAAAAATTATCAAATATATCTGCTAAATTAATTTTCGTATTTTTTTATTGTAATTGATTTGTTATAAAATTTTAAAAAATTGACAGCTATCAGCTTTCAGTAACATGAAATTTATTCATCAGTGGTGTATTGACTTCTAATTATAAATATTTACCTATCTTTTAATTATTAATTTGTATGTTCAACGCAGAACAGCAAAAGACAAGAGGACATACAACCGCCTTACCGCCATTTTCAGTAAAATTTTGTAAACAGTTAACTTATCGACGACGACATATTGTATAATTTCGACAGCTGATAGTTTAGTTCATAATGTTGTCGGCAGTCCGCGCCATCTTGTGGTAGTTTCAAAACAAATAGTTGCATATAGATGTTGTTGACAATTTTTTGGAGACATGTAATATATTAAAATTAAAATATCAATGAAATATTAATAAAAAAAATAAGAAAATAATAAATACATTTTTTTTTAAGACAGCTTTTGCCATTGAAGAAATGAACTTTTTGTCAATGTGAGTGAAATATATTTAATATTTAGATTTTTACCTAAATATAATCACTAAAAAGTTAAATTGTAATTATTATTTAAAAAAATAGTTTCTGTGTTAAAAAATAAAATTTCAAAAGTTTTTCTAACAAAACTATATAAATATATGAAAAAAAAAATAATTTATATTTATGTAGTTGGGTTGTATGAATAAACAAAATTAAAAAAAAAAATTGGAGTTAAGTTATTTTCATTAACCTTCTGAATAAATATGTATCTATAAGTACCACGTGTATTATCGCACTATCTTTCGCATAAATAAGTATTCAAAATATAAAAAAAAAAACTTCCATTTTGCTGTACTCCAAAACGATCAATTTAGTTGAATTGAATAAATTGTTTGAACTTTTAATAAAAATCATTTGTTTAAATATTTTTAACTCACATAGTGGGATTATTTTAAAAACGTGATTATAAGGATTCAATGTTATTATTTATTACGTCATAAAGTTGAAAATAAAAATAATTCAATATTTTACATCAAGTAAAAAAAATTTTTTAATTTACAATTATAAGTTCAGCTATTTTTATTAAAATAAAAAGAAAATAATAATAAATTTTCTAATTTACAAATTTTTTTGTTTTTAGATTTTATAATCATGGAAAACAACACTAAACTCACTGAAACATTATGGGATCCTGAAAGTATATTGTCTTCATCATCAGATTCCAAATATGCTATTGTTATTTTAAATCAACCAATTTTATTGGCGAAAAAAATTGTATTTCCTTTATGGAAAAAAGGTCAGTTCTATGTTAGACAACTAATATATATGAAAAAAAAAATTATTACTATAAATATAGTTTTATTGTTGATTTTTTTTAAAAAAATAAAAATAAAATAATTTTTATTTAATTTACAAATCAGTTACAATAAAAAAAAAAAAAAATGCTTATAAAAATTTCCATTAATAATTTTGCACGTGGAATTTTTTATTAAATTTTTCTCATTATAATTTCATTGCTATAAAATTCTAAAAAAATTTTTGATGTTATTTAACTTCAGTGTCATTAATTAATTCATATTAAATAAAATAAAATTTTTTATAATAATTTTTTCAGCACAAATTAGAGTTACTGTTGATGGTGGTACGTATCAATGGCTAAAATACTTAGGACCATTGGCAGATGAAGTTCTTTCTGGTAACTACCTGGAATATGCTCCAGATTTAGTGACAGGTGACTTTGATAGTATTTCACCCGATTGCATGGATAAATTAAAAAATACAAACGTTAAAGTAATTGAAACTCCTGACCAAAATTACACTGATTTCACCAAATCGCTAATTCAACTGTTTAATGAATGCAGAAATAAAAATATTAGGGTAAGTTATTCAAATTTTTGATTTAATTTATCAGTAAACAATAAATAGAGTAATTGATTTACTTTTTTTAATTTTTCTAGATAAATAAAGTCTATGTTTTTGTTGAATCAGCCGGACGGTTAGATCATATTATGGGTAATCTAGATACGCTATATAAAAGTGAAAAAATAATCGAAGATGATAAAACGATTATTTTAATAGCAAGTAATTCTTTAACATGGTTATTAAAATCAGGTTACCATATAATCAAAATTCCTAGAGTTTTAATTGAAGATAAGTCATGGGCCGGCCTTCTTCCAGTCGGATCTTCTGTTAAAACTATTTCATCAACTGGGTTAAAATATAATTTAGGTAATATATAAATAAATAAATTATTTAAAAATATTATTTATTATTTTCATATATAAAAAAAAATTTGTTTTTTAGATAATCACACACTAGCTTTTGGAGATCTTATAAGTAGTTCTAATACGTATGATGGATCAACACAAGTCACTATAACTACAGACAGTAAAATTATTTGGTCTATGGGTATTGAATCTTTAGTTGAGTTGGAGTAATTTTACTTAAAATTATTTTAAAAGTCAATAAATTATTTTTAATGTACTTATCACAAAATAACAATTTTATTTACAACCATTATTTATTAGCTACTTTTTTTGTTCAAATAAAAATTTATACATTTATTTGTTTAGTCTTTAATTTCTGTGATGTAAAAAAGAGAAAAGAATACTCAAATTTAAATGTCATACTATTTATTATTAGAATTAACAATTAAAAAAAAATAAATTAATTAAAAAAATTATTGAAATTATATAAATAATAAATATTTTAGAGCCAGTTTTTCAATCCGAGATAAAATTTTATCTTGGATTGAAAAACTGGCCCTTAAAGTTTTCTAAATTAAATTTTATAAATAATAAATTTTTTACTAATATTTTTTTATAATAATGATAAAGTGAATTTTTGTAAAGAATATTAAATTTTAATTTAGTTCTAATTAATTAATAATAATAAACATTTGAAAGAGTTATTTTATTAGTTAAATAAGCTTTGTTACTGTTTACATTTTATATTTGTCGCTTAGGAGCAAACTCGAATATGAATACGAATACAAATACAAATACTAAGTGGGATTTATTGCCTTGCTGCCTACAGCCAGTCTCAAACGGCCCGTCGTCCGATACGATTGCAATAGTATAATATCGTACAAGTTGTACATGTGTTCTCTGTATTAAAAATAACAGGCCATGGTTTAATTATTTCTACTATCATAATAATAAATAATAATTAATATTATTATTTTTACTAAGTGATTTATTTTTTCAAGACGAATATATTTTTATAATTAATAAAATTAGTATTAATTAAAATAAAAAACAAAATTTTTGACAATATGTGTGGTGTTAAATAATATTTATTGTAAATAGTGAGTTTAAAAAGTTAAGCTGAAAAATACTGAGTTATTAATAAATATAAGAGTGCAACAGGTCTTCAAATGCCACGTTGTTTATTGTATTTGTATTTATTGTGTCTGTGGCCAACAGTTTTTGAGCAACGTGTAAGATACTCACACTTGTCAATAAATCTAGTATGTATTACTATTACTACTTTATCACACATTTCACTTTACAGTTCTAAACTATGGGGGAGATTACGGGGGTTCAAAATATTTAAAATAAAAACCTGTCGATTGTTTAAATTAATAAATTTCAATAAAAAAAAATTCTACATTTAGAAATTTCAAAAATTTTTAAGTGAAATTTTTTTTCAATAATTTTTTATAAAAATAAAAAAAAATTCTAATTGTCTGATGATTTCAATTCTGAGTTTATATCAAAATACCGGCACTATTATTTTTTTTATTTATTTAATAAATAATTTTTTTTTATTAATTTTGAGAAATTTATTATTTTTAATAATTTAAAAAATTTTATCAAGGTTAAAATTTGTTTAAATGAAAATTAATTTTCAGTACATGTTTCTAATCAATGTACGCGCGTAATAGTTATATTTATGACAATTCGTTATAACTATTTTATCATTACTGATAGTAAAATATAATATTTCAAGTAAATTCTATATATTTTAGTTGTTTTCTTGATGGAAAGAATCATGAGGTAAAAATAAGTAAATATCGATTAATTTTAGTCGAGCTTGAAGGGTGCAAAAGCGAATGAATGACCCTCTCGTAGTATAGACGACAGTCATTGATTATCAATTGAAATATTTATGTAATATTATACTTTATTGATGCAATTAGTTTCATTATTCTAAATCAAAAATCAAATATTGTATCTATAAATAAAAAATCTACCAATTATCATCAATTATAACTAAAAAAAACTGTATTTTTATAAATGAAAATTTATTAAAAACAATTATTTATAATGATTTTGTAAATTTTTTAAGAAAAAGTATTTTATCAATAAATATAATTTTTTTTCTTACACTTTAACTACTTTTTAATTTATAAATAAAGAAAAACTTATATTTCAAAAAATAATTAATAGAGTAAAAAAATTTATTTATAAATAATACACAATAAATAATGAAAATCAAGTAAGCCGAGATCTAAAAAATTTTAGGTATTTTTTTTTATTGAAAAAATTATTACAAAATTTTCATTTGTAAAAAACTATAATTGCAATTTTTTAAAAATATTTTTTAGTTTTAATTTAATAAATAAAAAAAAGTTGAAAACAGCTAAAATTAGTATTATCAATAAACAATAATTTTTTTAATTTATAGTTTTTTATAAAATAAATATACTCCTGTAAAAAATATTATTTATTGAAAAAAATAAAAAATTGTAAAAATAAAACTTTTAGAAGCTAAAATCAACATATGTGATTGTTAGATAATAAGTCATGTTATTATTAAATCAGTGGTAATTTAGTATAGTTATCAGTTGGCGTAGAGTTAAAATTGTTTCAGATTGTTTTACTACTTCGGTATAGTATATAGGATTGAAACTTGGCCAATGCTCGTATTAGATAATCAATTCAGCCCCAGAATAATAAAATAATAAAACCATCATAAAGTATTCACAATAAATCATCAACATCAAAATAAACAGCTAGTATTATAAATATGATAGTGAAATAATAAGAAAAAAAATCTACTTAAATCCTTGGCATATTTTATGTATATTATTATATACTCCACTTATAAAAGTATACACATTAGTCTTCTAAATCACTGTTTGGTATATAATACGTATATGTGCACCGGAAATATATAAAATATTTTTCTCGTTGATTCAGCTTATGGCGTAACTTATATTGAGATAAGAATTAAAATATATTATATACTGAGTTTTTATGTTGTTATTATTGTACTATCAAGTTCATTTAAATTTAAAAAAAATATCAAATAATAATAAGTAATTTATATAGTGAAAAAAAAAAAAATAAAAGTATTTTATATTATAAATAATTTATTTATTTATTTGAGTCACTTTTTGATAAATAATTTAATTGATTAAAATAAATTTATATATTTGTGTATAATCCACGCAACTAATTAATCGTAATCGTAATATTAAAAGATAAAAATTTGAGCACATACTTGAAAATAAAATAAATGACTAGATTAACTAGATTGCAAACAAAGAGAATGGCTTGTTGGTAATGATAATCCTTTCAACTATTTTCCTTGGCCTAGCAATAAATTATTTTTACGCGTAAAATAATATTATATACTTACCCTGTTTTAAATAATTTTTTTTTATACTTATATTAAATTTCAAAAAATATTTTGTGTAGTTTAATTAAATATTTCATAATTTAAATGATAGATCTTTTTTACAAATAGGCAAAATAAATGATAATTTTCTGCTGTATGAATATTAATGAAAAAATTTTTTCATAGTTTAAAAATTAATTTAATAACTAAATAAAATAATATAAAATTATTAAAGTTTTATAAATTCTTCAGATATAATAATAAAAAATGAAATAATCGTGTATTATATACACAATAAACTTTATTATCAAGATCTAGAAAATGACGTCATTGTCTGATAAGGCTCACTAACCAGTTGCATAAATCAATTTACCTACCATACACCATCCAGTGTTACGTATTAAAATATCTGCAATTAGTCATCATATTTATGAAATTATTTTAAATCTTTCAAATGTTAATTTTTCAGTATTACTAGAAAAAAAAAAAAAAATAGGAAATATTTGTAATCTATTCACAATAATGTTTAACAACATAATATGATCAATTGTTTGTAGGATGAATGAACGAACAGGAAACACCTGAGGAATGTGACAATGTAACAATGAAAGAGAAAGAGTTCAATGTACTAAAGATAAATTGTGATGCGTAAAACAATCATCTTCAAGAAATTTTTTTATTAAAGTTGTAATTTAACTCTACAATAGTTTCAGAAGCTCATAAATGCAATAAATATATGTAAATAACTTATAATAAATTTTTTAGATATTTTTATAAATTTTTTATCCAATTAGCTTTTGATACAATTTTTTAAATAAAAAAAAAACAAAAAGAAAACTTAATTGTTATTTTATTAAAAATAAAAATAGTTGATGGATATTTTTACCAATTAAAAATATTAACAAAACTGTAAATCTTTAGATTAAAGGGTCCTCAGTAGTATTTTTCATCAGGTCATCACTCATCACTTGTTCGCAATAGTGAACGTGACAGCTGTTGACGCGGTTATTAAGGTCACTCAATACAAATCGTTGATTGGTGTCCAAGGTTGTCGTTGCTGTTTAAGTATTTTAAACTAGGTACCATACAGATACGTGAATGGACCGTTAAAATAAATATGCTCATTTACTAAATTTTATTGTAATATTAAAAAAAAAAAAAAAAAAAAAAAAAAAAACAATTATGTAAGTTATTTACATACATGAATTTTAATTTCTCGCGGGAAATTTATTGAACAATTAAATCTACTATTAATTAAATAAAAGTTGACGTAATTAATTAAATACAATTATTAATAAAACAACTTTTTTCTGTCATTAAAAATTACATTATAGAATTAATAATAATATTATTATTTCTAATGATAGTTAAATACTGAACTAGTTACACATTTATAATTATTTATATTTTTTTATTGCATTAATAATTATTAAATTAAGGCCTCTTGTAAAGTAAAGAGGCCCTTCAAAAATTGCAACACGTGTATAAGACAACCCTACACACGGATGCGGTCATATAATTTATATGGGTTTTATAGCATCAGTACTCTCACTTTACGATCATTGAACACTATGCTCCCGTAGACAAGAACGGAGGAAAGACAGATGGATTCGGAATATAAGCATTCGATATTACGAACTAACTGCGGAAAGATTTCGCCCTCTCTTGGGAGTTTAAATAACTATCTGCAAATTTTTTTTTTTTTTTTAATTAAACTAAAAATTCCGAATATTTTCATTAAAATTAAATTGATTATTAAATAAAGAATAAAAATAATTTTTTTTTAATAATCAACACTACAGCTTCTTATCAGCGAAATTTAGTTCATCAGATTGTTATCAATTATTAGAGCGTTTTATTTTCAATTTGAAAATATGCCTTTTGCATAATAATATTAAATGATAAAAATTAATTTATGAATTCTTTTGAGTGAATAAAATTTATTGTTCCGAAAAATGAGTGTGTTTTTAAGTAATAAAATTGAAATAAATAATTTTCTTAGACTTTACATAAAATTTATATATCTGATATGATAAAATACATTTATATAAGTTATCTTATCAGCGGAGATCAGGAAAAGAGGGAGAAATTGTTAACCAACGTAGACGGTGTAGACCTTAACTGTTGGTATATAATTTCTACAAGATATTTTTCATTTTAACGTAGTGGTTGAAAAATTTTGTCGTCAGTAATATAATCTACCTCTGGACACTCATAAGTTACGTATATGCTGTATATTATTGGTGCTGTCTGTATGTAGCTGTTCTTTATATTTTACCATCATAATCTTGTAATTAATTATTTATTTTTTTTTTATAATTACAAAATATGTTAATTTATACGTAATACGCTTGATAATTGAAATTTAACAATTAAATTAAGTTTCACGTGTCAGAATTACAACTGCACGTGATAGAGTAAAAAGTAAGTTAGCTAATATCAATAATTAAGTTTATAAACCAGAAATTTGATTTTAATTAAAGTTTATACGTCCTTTTTTTGTACAAAACTATTATGCAATTTTTTTTTATAAATTATCATTACATGAATGGAGGAAAATTTTTTTTCTAATTGATATAAAAGGAAAATTTTTAAAATTTTCAATGTAATTTAAGTTTTTAATTAATATTTATTGCTTTTAAAAAATGAATTTCATATCATCATAAAGTAAATTTATCGTAGTATTTAATCGTCCTAAGTGCTATGTTAACACATAATTTAATATACCTTTATTATTCTATTGCACTTGCTTTATAAGTCTTATCAATTTTCTACCAAGGACATTTAAAAAAAAAAATGTAAGCTTTAACTCAAAATTAAGTTATTAAATATTAAATATTAATTTATTGTGATATAATTCAAATTATTATCATAAAATTTTTTTAGATCCACGGATATATTTATGTATTTAACGGAACAAAATTATTATAAAATTAGTGTTGAAAGACAAATTAATTGTGTCATATGAACGTGTAAAGATATAATATAACACATAAAATAATATATATCATGAATTATAATTCATATGAATGACTTGAGTTATTGTATTATTGCGATTTATTATATTATATGTATATTTATAACTTTTCAAAAAATTATTTTACATAATAACAATAAATTTTATTACAGAAAAGGATACGGCATATCTTGGATTAAAAATGGGCAGCATGTTTAGAAGTGAAGAGATGGCTTTATGCCAGCTGTTTATCCAGCCAGAGGCAGCTTATCTTTCTGTCTCGGAACTTGGAGAGACCGGAACTGTTCAATTCCGCGACGTAAGTGAATGATTATGATGAACAATTGTCTTACAATTTCATGAAAAAATAATATTAATAATGTCTTTTAAAATTTTTTCACTGTAATTTCTCAATTAAGATTCATAATGGATGATTCAAACTTTTGTTAATTATAAAAAATCTCAATTTTGAAATTGCGACTTTTTTATTAGTCTTAAGAAAAAATTATTTATTTATTTACTTGTAAAAAAATGCTCTCGACAATTTACAAGAATATGTTACATTTTTATGTGTAGAATATTTAGTAATGTTTATATAAAATAAATAGCATCTGTAAAAAGAAGATAGATTTAAGATTTAAGAGATCTGAGAGAAGAAAAAAACAAAAAGATAAAAATTTTTTGTAATAGATAATTGATAGTTTATAATCACTATAATTTTTTTTTCTTCTTTATATTAACTTCTTAAATATTTATAATTATACAGTTGAATAGCAGCGTTAATTATTTTCAACGTAAATTTGTAAATGAAGTTCGTCGTTGCGATGAAATGGAACGGAAGCTTCGTTACATTGAAGCAGAAGTTAAAAAAGAGGATGTACCAGTCGCTGAAATAGTCGGTGATTTGCCTCGAGCGCCAATTCCCCGTGAAGTTATCGATCTTGAGGTCTTATTTTATTTTTAATATATTTAATATAATCACTGTAAAAGCTACAAATAAAATTAATTATAACAATAAATAATTTCAGGCACACATTGAAAAAACGGAGCATGATATACTGGAATTAACTCACAACGCAGTTAATCTTAAGAGTAATTATTTGGAGCTATCGGAGTTGCAGCATGTTCTTGAAAAAACTCAAGTATTTTTTACCGAGGTACCTAAGTAATTCGACAGCCGGTGTCTTTACGATTTAACAAATAGTGTAATTGATATTACCGTTTAGTCGAAGAATCAAGGCTCTTTTTTGTTTCTCGATCAGCAGGAGGAGGCTAATGACTCTATTACACGAGCTTTGATCAATGAAGAGCAGCAGTATCCGACAACTACAGGCCGTGGACGACTTGAGTAATTTTTTTGATTTTTTTTAAATAAAAAATAATTATCATAATTTGTCAAATTAATTATTTTATTTATATTAAAGATTTGTCGCTGGAGTTGTCAATCGGGAGCGTGTGCCGGCGTTTGAACGGATGCTTTGGAGAATATCTCGTGGCAATGTCTTTCTTCGACAATCTGAATTAGAAAAGCCTCTTGAAGATCCAAATACGGTAAGAATTTTGTTTTAAATAATAATAATAATATTATTAATAATAATAATAATAATAATAATAATTTTAAAACACAGTAACTGCAAAATTTTTATACCTGATTTTTTTTTAGTATTGCTACATTTTTTATAACTTTCAAACCTTAATTTCAAGTATTTTTTCTTAAAAATATTTATATTTGAGTAGTTTCTATTCATAAATCAAATTTGTCATTAATTTAACGGGCAAACTTTTTTTTAATAAGAAAAATTGAAAAAAATTTTTAAATGTTAGTTACTGTGTTTTGAAATTGAGCAGCCGAACTGTACATATTATTTCTTTTTCCATTTAATCATTCTATCTTTCTTCTCTTCTTTTCATCTTCTTGTTTGCACGTCGTTATCCTCGTGGCCCTCCTGCACCAAACTCCGCAATCCTGTTTTTTCCTTTAGGATTTCTTCAATTTTTCTGAAGATCGTGCATGCTCTCCCGTCTAGTTTTCCCTTTAATCTTTCTTCTATTTTTTCATTTCTTAAATCTTTCCATTCATTTAATACATTCTTTTCTTCTTCTTCTTCTTCTTCTTCTACTTTTTCATATATTTCTTTACATTTCATTATATGTGTCAGTGTTTATTCTTCCTCTTCGCATACTCTGCATCTCCAATCCTTGTATCCTTTCTTTCCACCTCTCCCTATGTTTCCACACCGTACCCTCGCCCAGGTTTCTTTGTCTTCTCCGATTATTTTATCTTTCTTTCTATAGTTAATAATAACAATAATTATTATTTATTTTTTCAGGGTAATGAAATTTATAAAACGGTATTTGTAGCGTTTTTTCAAGGTGAACAATTGAAGAGCCGTATCAAAAAAGTATGTGCTGGATTTCATGCTTCATTATACTCTTGCCCCAACAGCAATGCAGAACGATTAGAAATGCTAAAAGGAGTTCGTACTCGTTTAGAGGATCTTAATTTAGTAAGTAATTTTATTTTATTTATAAATAATACTGAATTTAAAATTATAATTAAAATATTTTAGAAAAAAAATTAAAAATTTTTTTTATTATAATTTTATAAAATTATTTTTTTTTTTTGATTAATATATATTTTATTTAATTAAATAAGGTTCTTAATCAAACTCATGATCATCGACAACGAGTACTGCATAACGTTGCTAAAGAAATACCTAACTGGAGTATTATGGTCCGAAAAATGAAAGCCATTTATCATACCATGAATTTATTTAATATGGATGTTACGAAAAAGTGTTTGATAGGAGAATGCTGGGTGCCAATGGCTGACCTTACAATGGTTCAAAGTTGTCTTACGGAAGGATCGGTATACTATTTTTTCATCATCTTCATAAACTCTTTACAATACATTATTGTATATTTAATATTTTTCAGAGATTATGTGGAAGTTCAATCCCATCATTTTTAAATGTTATTCATACAGATGAAGATCCACCAACATTCAATAGGTCTAATAAATTTACAAAAGGATTCCAAAATTTAATTGACTCTTACGGTGTCGCATCTTACAGAGAAGCTAACCCAGCGCTCTATACAATCATAACATTTCCATTTTTATTCAGTGTTATGTTTGGTGATACTGGTCATGGTGAGATTTTATTGAATAATAATAATATTAATAATTATTATTATTAACAATAATTTTATTTATTTTAGGTTTAATATTGACTATTTTTGGCGCTTGGATGGTAATTTGGGAAAAAAAGTTATCCGCTAAAAAAACAGACAACGAAATATGGAATATATTTTTTGCTGGTCGTTATATAATATTACTCATGGGAATATTTTCAATCTACACCGGAATTATTTACAATGATATTTTTTCAAAGTCTGTAAATATATTTGGATCTAGTTGGAGAGTCGAATTTACCGCTAAACAGTTAATGGAAAATAAACACCTTCAACCAGACCCTGCAACACCTGCTGGATATGCACAAGTACCATATCCCATGGGATTAGATCCAGCTTGGGCGCTAGCAGAAAATAAAATTATTTTTTTGAATTCATATAAAATGAAATTATCCATTATTTTCGGTGTTGTTCACATGATTTTCGGCGTTTGTGTTAGCGTTATCAATATAATGTAAGTTTTATTAATTATATTAATTGATAACTTTATTATAAACATTTATTTTTTTATATTTTTTAGACATTTTAAAAAATACGCAAGCCTTGTTTTGGAATTTTTGCCCCAACTTTTGTTTCTCATTCTTCTTTTTGCGTATTTGGCGGCACTTATGATAATAAAATGGATTTTATACAGCGCTGCAGCAAAAGGTTCGTTTAATCATTTAATTATCTATATTATTAAGAGAATAAGGAAAATTTTGTGGCCAGTGTATTTATATGATAAAATGGGTTTTTATGGTTACATATCATTCTCACCAATAGTCAATTTATTAGATACATAATTAAGAAATGACCATGTATTTTGCGAACTATTAACATTTTTAAAGATATAAGCTCATTCCGATGTTACACTCATCAAGAGCTTTCATTTGAGTACCCACATGCATTTTTAAATATTTTTCATATATTTATATATATATATATATATATATATATATATATATATATATATGAAAAATATATCAAAATGCATGTGGGTACTCAAATGGAAGCTCTTGATGAGTGTAACATCAGGATGAGCTTATATCTTCAAAAATGTCAATATTCAAGAAACTACAGTGCACTTTAACGAAAGTCATTATTTAATAAAGCAAAATTTAATTCATTTATAGTTCACAAGTCACGGCAGTCAAATAGTGACTGCAAGGTTGCTAGTATAAAATATATAATTAATTTTTTTTTAAATAAAAGTATAAAAAATATTTTCAGGTACCGACTGGGAGCCTCGCTGCGCACCGTCAGTTTTAATAATATTTATTAACATGATGCTTGGAGGTGGTCAAGGACAATCAGAGCCTTCTTCATCGGCTGTCAATGAAACCTTAGCTACAGTAGTACAACCCTGTCCTAAATGGATGTATCCAAATCAAGATATTGTACAAGATGTATTTAAATACGGAGCGCTTCTCTGCGCTCCGGTATTATTATTCGGTAAACCACTCTATTGGTTAATTACAAATAAAGCATCGAAAAAGCGACAGGTAAATAGAAATAATATTTATTTTTAAACTAGTTAATAAAATTGAAAAAAAAAATTTTTTTTATAGAATAATGGAGTTGCTTCACAAGATATTGAACTTGAAAGCAGTAATTTTCCATCCAATGGCGATACACTGAATAGTGTAAGCCGTAATCATGGTGGTGGTCATGATGATCATGAAGAAGATAGTTTTAGTGAAATAATGATCCATCAAGCTATCCATACTATTGAATATATCCTTTCAACAGTATCACATACTGCGTCTTATTTACGACTTTGGGCTTTGTCGTTAGCTCACGCTCAACTTTCAGAAGTATTATGGGTTCAAATATTCACTCAAGGAATTAAATTTGCTCCAGATAGAGATTTTATTGGTGGTATTACTATATTTATTGCATTTGCAATGTGGGCATTTTTCACTATTGCTATTCTTGTCCTGATGGAAGGTCTTTCAGCCTTTCTTCATACACTTCGACTTCATTGGTAAGTTTAGTTTTATTAAGGGGTTACATGGGTTTTAGACAGGTCTTCAAGATCTAATTTACAAGGTCTTGAACGAAAGATTTTTTTTTTCAATTACAACTATTTAAAAAAAAAAATGCTGTGAAATTTTTAGTCAAACTTTTAATTTTTTTGTAAAAACCTCTGCCAAAAATCCAATTTTTATTTTTTTATTTTTTCCTTTGTTCAAGACCTAGTTTGAGGTCTTAACTAAAGCACATATTTTTTTTTTTCACTTCAAATAATCCTGCTAAAAGTTCTGCTGATCACGCGAGCGCCGGAAATGAGGTCACATTAGCAGAGTTTTTAATATTTTTTTTTAACTTCAGTAATCCCTTATTGAACATGTATTTTTAAGACAGTAAAAAGTTTGGATAAAATATTTCATTTTTTCTATTAAAAAAAAATTGTTGAAAATAGGCCATTTTTTCCCGGAGGAAACCCATGTAACCCCTTAATAAAAAATAATTATCTATTGTTAGATTATTAATCTAATAATATATTATCTGTTATTAAATTATTAATCTAATAATATATTATCTATTATTAGATGTTTAATAATATTTTTATTATTATTTAGGGTCGAATTTATGAGTAAATTTTATGAAGGCCATGGACATCTATTTCAACCTTTTTGTTTCAAAAGTATTATAGATACAGCATCGACCGAGGAAGATGAAGATTAGATATACATATCTATGGAATAAATCATCGTCAATTAAAAAGACAATAATTTTAAGGGTCTATAATAGAAATTAATTTTCATTTGATAAATTATGAAAGTAGTGCTGCTTTAGATAAATATAAGCAAAATATATCAAATTAAAAAATTATAATTTACGGTTTGGACTTGAATTTAAATCAATACGAAATTTAATGATAAAAATAGAACGTATATATATTTTTTTTTAAACAATATTCAATCAAAATGTGGAAATTTTGAAAAATATAAATTAAATTTTTACATTACTTAAAAATTGAAAAAGATTATACAGATGCAGTGTTCCATAATCAATTAATAAAAGTAATAATGATGTACATTTAAATAATTTGCATAATATAAATGTATAAAATATTGTAATTTTATTTATTTAAATAATAAATCAAATGATATACCCAGTGTATTTGCAACATATATATGTGTTTAGCATAGATCTGTTATTCAATCACCGGTTGTTGCATTACCTTACAAACCAAACTAGTTAAACTATTTCTTTCTTTCACTATTAACTCGATATGCATATATTTTTTTCTGATACATAAGGAACATATCATTAAATGTTTCGTCACTTAATAAGGTCTTATTTTATTAGAATTTATAACTTTCTTTAGAAAAAATCAGTGTTTAAATTTATAATTGTACAGCTTAAATAATAAGTAATATTTTAATTAAAAGTGAAAATGGTTGGGATAATAAATATTTAATATTTAAGGAAAAAAAACATTTTATTATTTTAATATAATCGTATTAAAAATAGTTTTCGTTTTACAATTTTTTTTTTACTACACTAATTAAGTTTTATAAAATTAAATTTGTTCAACAAGTAAACTAACAATAATCGACAGTATTGTTATAATTTATATACACATAAAATTCTTAAAAAAATAATTTTAATAACTTTTTTTCCTAATTAATTATAAATATATTCTTTTTTTTAACACAATTAAGAAAACAATTTTTATCATACTTTTTTTTACATCAGAAAAAAAGATTAATTAATAATTAATACTTCACAATAATTTTTTAAATTATAATTTTGATTACAAAATTTATTTTTTTTTTAAATATACCACTATAACTTTGATATTATTATTATTAAGTATGTAATATAAAATAATTAATATATCTAACTATAGAGAGTTGATATTTAAATATAGAGTATTGAAAAAAAAAATTTTTTTTTTCAATTAAAGTACATAAAAAAAAAATAAAAAGTATCTTTAAAATATTATTTAGAATAATTGATTTTTTAAATATTTAATTATAAATTTGATATTAATATTATTAAGTATTCAATATAAAGTAATTAATATATATAACTAAAGAGCTAAGATTTAAATATGAATAGAGAATTGAAAAAACATTTTTTTTTTTTCAATTAAAGTACATAATAAAAAAAAAAAAAAAAAAAAAAGTATCTTTAAAATATTATTTAGAATTATTAATTTTTTGATTACTCTCTTGTCTATCACAATCATCATCACCAATAGAATTAATAGAATTAAGTTGAATATCTTTATCATTAAATCTCTTCCCAAGGCACGTAGTAAAGCAAGTATCCCCTACCCCGAATTTCTCGCCATCCTCAAGAGTTTCCGGCATGGGATGTCCAGCCGTTTCAGGAAGATACAAAGCTAAGAACCCAGAAATCAAAGCAACACCGCCAAAAGTAGTGGCTGGTACTCTTGGATCAAGCGTGTCTAACAATAAAAGCATCGGAGTTAAAGCTCCGCTAAGACGACAGCACATAGAGCCGACTCCAAGCGCGGTGTTTCTCAAAACAGTTGGGAATAATTCGGCAGTGTAATTATAAATCACCGCAAATGATATTGCAATGCAGGATTTACCAAATAAAACAATTCCAATAACAGCGTTGCTACCGCCAAATAATTCTTTGGGAATTGAAGCAGCTACTACACAGCAAACCCCGCCGATAATCATAAAAACACTTACTAAAAATCTTCTTCCTACTCTGTCCATAACTAATACTGTAAATACATAACTCGGTAATTCAACAATACCGCTTAAAGCTAGCATTAAATACGGATTGCCTTCAAGATTGCCGCTGCTCAATGAAAGACCGTAATAGACAATTGCATTTGCGAACCAGTTAAGACAAACATTAAGAAAATTTTTTCTCAAATTTGGAGTTTTAAGTAAGTCAATAACACCATTGCTACTTTTTACATTTTTATTATTATTGCTATTGCTATATTTAGCTAAATTTTTAGCGATAAATTTATCTTCATCTATTATAGAATTATCACCGTTAAATTTAAGCGCTTTTTGGACTATTTTTATAGCTTCTTTAGGATTTCCCTGAACCCACAGCCATCTCGGAGATTCGTCCATCAGCCACCAATGGCCAATTAAAATAAAACTATGAAGACCGTAGACAATTTGCAGCCACATTCTGTCTTTAATAATGAATCCCCAGAGTGCAACAAGGACAAATCCGAATGAAAAACACACTTGGAACATAATACCGCAAAAAGTGCGCTTTGATGATCCAACCATTTCCATAGTAAGTACAAATCCGGTAATATAAGCTCCAGAAGAACCGAATATACCGTATAGAAATCTTAGACACAAAAATGTATAATATTCCGGAATAAATGCAACTATTACACCTAGTATAAGTTGCCCGGTTGCTGAGATGCAAAATATTATTTTACGGCCGTATTTATCAGCTAAACTCCCTAAAGTAACAGCTCCGGTAAATACACCTAACATGTAAGTCGACTGCGCTACTGCGCCTTTCCATTTATTTGAGCAAACAAAATTCCACTCTATTCCTCGGGAGGATTTGTAATATGTGTCATCATAGATCCAATCGTCACATTGTTTTACTATTGAATCATTTGTTAAGTAATGACAGGAATCTAAATTTAACGGAACGTCGGTTAGTTCTGTTCCGTTTGGATAAGTTGCATTTATACCTGGTACAATGTCCCAATTTAGTTCTGATTTATCGGATAAACCGAGTTTATCTATAAGACCAGGTACAATACATTTGTGATCAGGTACCGCCGCGACAGTAATTAGTGTTAACATATGAAGGCCAGCTAATAATCCTGATACCACGTGTAGACAAAATTGAAATGTTTGATATTTTCCAAATTCACCAATATGGGACATTAACTCCTCGAGATCTGCATCAACACTTGCCATTTTTATTTTATTTTATTTTAGACTTATATAAGTAATTTTTTTTTTAAGAGTTTTGTTGAATTTTTTTTAATACTGATCAGTGAATGAATGAATGATGCTGATCAGTCGCGTACGCCGCTCAACAGACTACTGAGTAATGCAATTGGGTTAGTAACCTTTCGTAACAGTGCATTCAATATCTTTACTAGTATAGCCTCTAACTATTAAATTGCGAAAAAAAAAAACTTATTATTTTACATTATTTATCAACTCTTTTTCTATAATTTTCTTTTTGTCATTATTATCATGATTATTTACTTAAAAAAATAATTTTATAAATATTTGAGAAGACAAAAAATTATTCTTCAAAAAAACCTATAAAATTCACTCGTTACATAACATTAAAATAATATTTCTGTTGTAGAGTATTGATGTCTTAAGTACACACAAGTGAGGTCAATTTCCAAAGAATAACAATTTTTATATTTATCTATTTAAGTGTAATTAATTTCTAATTTTTTAAAGAGTTTTAATTGTTTTACAAATTTATCATCTTCTGTAATTATGGCAGATTATCTCGATTATTAATTAATTACTCCTCAGTTATGATGAACAATTATACCATTTAAGATTAACTTTTATTGTTAATTTAAACTAGGCCAATAAATTTATATTTACATAGATAGAAGTATCTTTATGGTGATAAATATAAAAAATTACTGCCAGAGATATATTTTTTTTATCAGTTGTTGCTGTTATATTGTTCTATTGTTATTATTGTTATGTAGCTTATAATAATAATGTGACTATTACTAAATTTAACTTTATTGGAGTTGGTGTAAGTTTATCACAAATTTAATCTTGTGAAATCTCTTCTTCATTGGATCTGATAATTAAAAAAAAAAAGAAAAATATAAATTAATAAATAAAAAATTTCTTATTTTATATTTAAAACTGAACACATATAATAAATCATAAAATTTAATTTTTAAATAAATTTTTAATGCATTTAATATTTAAAAAATAATATTTTAAGATAAATAAAAATAAAATTAAAATTATTTTTGTCTTATATATTTATTAAAAAAATTTTTTCGTTATTTTGCATATTTTTTACTGTGATATTTTATTTTTATATCATTATAAAAATTATATTTTGTCAATAATGATCAAATTAATATGCAAAAATTGTTGTATTGTGTTAGTAGGTTATAAATTATAAAATAAATTCACAAATAAACATAAAATATATTAATTTCATCATAATTATCCGGTGGATAATTAAAAAAAAAATTCTGATGAAATATTCAATGATCTCAGGGTATAAAGTTTATCAATAAATTTATTTAAATAACAAGTAAAAAGTAAAAAAGTTCAACTTACGTATTTTGATCCAACTTGCGTTAAATTTATCATGAATAATGAAAATAATAATAATTGAGTATTGTTGATAAATATGATTATATATTTAAAAAAAACTTTTAAAGCACATGCGGGGCGTACACGAGTTCGTGAACAATTGTTGCCGGCAAACGGGCAAGCGTCAGTCAGAGTATAGCTTATCCGTTGATATTTCGTTTTTTAGCCTTTTTTTTAATCATTCTTCCTCTGCAGTTTTAAAACTATCAATGCACAAAATTCTCTAAGCTCTTGTTTAAATTACTTTATAAATTTCTATTTGTAATAAATAAATATTTTTTTTTTTCTAAATTTTATATGGAAATTTAAATAATTTTTAATTTTACAAAATAAAAAATTAAATTACTTAAAACATTCTATGCACAAAATAAATATTTAAAAATTTTCCAATTACTAATGTGTTATGAAACTTGACGTAATAGAAAATAACGATGTTATTAATTTTTCTTATTTACATCTAGACAATTGAGGCCGTGTTAACATTAATAAACAATTATTACCCGAGATTTTATTGAGATATATATCACTGTTACTGTAATTTATCACAATAAATATAACATCAGCAAAACTGAGTTTAAAAATTAATAAATTTAATTTTACACCAAAGAAAATATATATAGTTTGTCAGTAAGTGGATAGACGTAAGTGGATTTAATATCAATTATATATGTACATAATCAAGGGTTGCGAATAATAAAAAAATTAAATAAAACATTTTATTTTTAAGTTTTGAATTTTTGTTTCGAAATTTTTAAATCTGTCAATTATTAAAAGTGTTTAAAAAATTAAAAAAAAACTCGCAAAAAGACAAAAGACTCAAAATGGTTGAAAAATTTTAAATAGGTAATAGTTGAGAGTTTATCTTGGTGTTTTAATCAATTTCATAAATCGCAAATGATTATTCTTCACTTACCTACAAATGAAAATATAAATAAAAAATTTTCTGTAGATGGCGATGTGCATCTTGTCCTTTCAGTGAAATGACATTCCGATAAGTTTTGTTTATAAGCTTGAACTTGTAATTAGAAAAGTAATTATGATGAAGACCGTACCGCATCAACGATTAGTGATGGCTGGAGATCGTGATGGGTTTGTTAACAATTAAATATAATATTATTATTATTATAAATAATAGATATTTTGTAATTAATTATTTCCTTATTTTTTTAGGTTACTCTAAAATTTATTCAAATGATAATAAAATCTAGAAAATCAGCTGACATTTGGAGATTTATTGTTGATTTTATTCAAAAAAATTATATTTAAAAAACATAAAATTTTTTATATTAATTTTTAAATCTAGTTTTTCTTATAATAAATCATTTTTTGAATATTATCCAAAAATTCCCCAGATGTAAGTTAATTTTTAAGCTATTATTTGAAAAAATAATTCAATAATTATATTTTTGACAGTTTGAAAGAGCTCCTGAGACGACGACTTGTTGAATGCGGATGGCGTGACCAAGTTAAAATAATTTGTAAGGAATTGATTAAAGAGAAAGGACGTGATATCACTTATGACAGTATGCTGTCAACTGTAACTAGCAGAGCCCGCACTCTTGTACCTGATTCTGTTAAAAAAGAGTTACTGCAAAAAATAAAAAGCCAGTTGATGGCACAAGAAGAAAAGTTGAAGATTTAAGTATTTTATATCTAATTAATGAAAATTTTATTTTATTTTGCAAGGCGAATCCTTTTTCTATCATTTGTATTCACTCTTTTTCACGTATTACAAATTAAGTACATTCAATCAATTTATTTTCTGTCAATAATTCGCTTATAGATTTTTTTGTAACTGTATATTACTGTAAATAAATTTTTTTAATTTCAATAATGAATTGTTACTTGGATATTTTATTTATTATTAAGTTAAATAAATAAATATTATTTTTTAAAGTGAAATAAAAATATTTCAAATTTACCGCGTACTCAGTGTCATGCGCAGTAGCCACTAGAGGTGCTTTGCTCCGTGAAGTGTTTAAGTGTTTCTCTGCTGTCGACACTTGATGATGTATCAACTTTAAAACTGCGCAAAAAGCTTATTCTTATTCAGTAATTTTTAAAGTAAGTTACTTAATTCTCTCCTAAAATTTTTTTATATTTTAATAAAATTAAATATAAAGAAGCAATAAATAATACACTAAGTTAATAAATAATAATCATCAATAAAATAAAATTTTCTTCGAGTTGCAAAATGAAATTTGAATTTAATTTACATGCAGTATTCTATTCTTCAATTATGATAAATTTTATATTTAAAATTAAATAGTTAATTTTATTGATTTAATTTCTAAAAATTAATTTCATCTTATTTTTTATGACAATAAAGTTAGCCGACATCTGAAAATTTTAAGAATTTTTTTTAATTGAAAAAATTATTATAAAAAAATTTTTAAAAAATGTCATTTGTAAAAAACTTGAAAAACTGTAAGTGCAATTTTTAAAAAATATTTTTTTGTTCTAATTTTATTATTGAAAAAAATTCAAAAAACTGAAAATGTCGGCTAACTTCATTATTATTCTTTTTTAAATTAAAAAATTTTCAAAACAAAATTATTTATTTAAGAATGTTACAAGTAATTAAAAAAAAATTGCTCTGTAGGTGCCGCCATCTTGTGTCTGCAATGAGTACCGTCGTTTAAAAGCAAGCAGATGTTCTTACAATGACCGGGTTCTAAAATTTATTAAACAAAAAAAAAAGTTGAAATGTCAGGGATAATCAGTGCAAGTTTTTCGATAGTTTGTTTTATTTATTAGTGTTATTAAAAACAATTTAACCATCTTCCTTAATTTTATTTCCAGTGGTAAGTAAACAATCACTTAACTGTAACCTTAAAAATTTATATTTACTTATTTTTTTTTTTAACTTCATATTCTTATTTTTTTTTTTTTTGCTAAATAACCTTCGTCACAATTATAATTCAATTGTTCTGTTGGTTTTCAATTATTTATCAACGTTTTCAAAATCATCAGTCAAAATTATCATTATAATCTCCATTTATTTTCTACAAAACGGAGTTGTCAACATAAACTTTGATAATTTACCAGGATCTCCAAATTGGATGAAAAAATTTTTACAAATGTACATAATAGATTGATTGATAATAATTTTTAGCGATATTGGTATTTATTTATTCAGCAGGTACGACTTGAGATTAAATGATAAAATTATTAGAGGATAGTTGTTTGCACGTGGGCCCACCAATTGCTCCACTTAATTTATTTAAATAAACTATTGAGCAAAAAATGGTGAATTGATAGAGCTGAAAACTGAATAAATAAATAATAATGAAAAATGTACACGTGTAATACGTTATCTTCAACGAACGTATGACTTTTGAAGAAGGTCGTTCTCAAAATAGAGCGTGCGTTACTTTATTATTTAATATACTTCAGTTATTTTTTTAATTTGTTTCAGATAACCTTCGTCAAAATTTTTTATTACACATTAAATTGGCTGTCTATGTTCCGGTGAGTCAATTTATTTTATAAATCCATTTTTTAATAGCTTGCTTTTGGTTTGTTTGTTATAAAAACGTGAAGATTTATAATGGACACGTTCATTAACAATATTTTTGTTTATTATTGATCTCCTTAATCTTCTATCTATCTATTTCAATTATTTACTTTTATCTATCGGAAATAATTCATGAAAATTAATTATGATACTAAAGTTAGCCGACGTTTTTAATTTTTTGATTTTTTTTTAATAATTAAATTAGAACGAAAAAATATTTTTAAAAAATTGCACTTACAGTTTTTCAAGTTTTTAACAAATGACAATTTTTTTTTTTTTTGTAGTCATTTTTTCAATAAAAAAATTCTTTTTAATTTTTAAATGTCGACTAACTTAATTTTCATAAATTAATTTAGCAGATATTTAATAATTTTTAAAATTTTATAATGAATAAATTATGGCAAAAAAAAATTAAAAAAAAAAATTGACATGTAGAAATTTTAAAAAATTAAAAATGTAATTTTTTAATAAATAAAATTAAAAAATTGTTAAGTAACTGCTAACTTTAATGTCATAAATAATTCTCAAATTAACTTTTCATTATTTGAAAATTTTTATTTATTTACAAGAAAATTTTTTTTGAAAAAAAAAATTTACAATTATCAAATAAAAAATGATTATTTCATTAAACAATTAAAAAAAAATTTAATAACTGTGTTGAGTAATTCTTGATAAAATTAATATTTCACTAATTTTTTAACCTAAATAATTTTAAAGTTAATTAAAAAAAAAGTTTATAAATCATTCGCTTAATTCCCAACAAAAATTACTCATAATTTTTCTATAAAACCTTTAAATTTTTTTACTAACAATTCTAAATAAAAGTAAATATTTAAATTCTCAAGGAGCTTAGCAAAAAAACTTTTCGTAACCTTCACAACAAACTTTTAGTTAAAATCCTCTATTATAATAAACACGCGGAAGTGACGTTCAATTTCAGCGTGAATAATTTATTTCATTATTTTTTCTTACAACCAAGTAACCAAACAAGTTACTCTATCTATATTTACATAATACAAGCCATGATAAATGTCATAATGTATTGCTATCATTGCTATTTATTCAATCAGCTATTTATCCACACCATTCAATTCCTTTAATATTACTTGAATTTATTTCTAAATATAAGCGAAGTATGATTTAAAAAAAAACTTCATTTATTTACAATTAGCCGACAAGTTTCCTGAAAAAAAAAATAATTTATTCAAACCGTTGTTACACAATTACACTCAGTCGAAGTAACATCTATAGTAGAACGAGTACGTAATATAATATTAAATATATTATTACATTAGTGTCGGGCTTCGAATAATAAATAATTTAAACGTCTGAGCGATTGTAATTGAATTGAATTAGTAAGAATGGTTATTCCTGCCAAATTAGCCATCTTAATTATGTTATTAAATTTCAGTAATTATTTATCCTTCGATGAACTAATTACTGAGCAATCATATTTTGTAAAAGTAAATAAGAAATATTTAATTGATTATTAGGGCAAATATTGAGTCAATTTGTTTTATTTTATTTGACTGTTTAGTGTTTGGATTTTTTTAAATTTACATTGAACATGAGTTTATTACGAGGTCGACCAAACTAAACATAACGTAATAATCCACTTTGCGTAATTACTCCCACCAGTTTAAATATTAAGTAAGTTGAATAATTATTAATAGTACACAACAGTTTATTGATGGCATGACCAATATATTTTTTTTTTAATTAACTCAAATGGAGATTTAAAAATTTTTTTTTGTTCAAAAATATTTTTATCAATATCAGCAATTATTTTTTAACGCTTATGATTGTAAGTAGGCATTTATTAATTTTGAAATTCGCTAAAAGAGGTGCTCAGTTTCCTTTTTATCCGTCGGCGGTAAAATACAAATCTACATTGTTGATGGTTAGTAATTTTTTTTTTATTTTTAGTGAAAGTTTCAAATAATTTACAATCTACACCATGTCCACTTTTATTAATAGATTTTTATTTTGATTAATTGAATGACTCTTATTGAAAGCTCGACAGGGGGTGAGATATAAAAAGAACCCTCGGTAGTTATTTTTAAATTCAATATAACGTTCGTAGGTGTGACAGTCAATAATTGAAAGGAAATTTTTTTGTCTTGACGTCAAAGAATTTTTTTTAGATCAGAGAAATTAGGTTTTTTGTATTCAAAGAATTCATTCTATTTTTTGTCCCGATTTTTGATACTCAAGGCTTCTGGCTTGAATAGAAACGATTGATGAGCTTATGGTGGTCGGAATGCTCTCAAGATGATTAAGGTTTTTTTTTTTAATTTGAAAGTAGAGCACAGAATTTAGTGGTATCATCGTTTTATTTACTTACCTGGTTTGTGGATAAGCGATGTTTATTTTGGGAATTTTGAAATAGATTTTTATTCGATAAAAAATTATTTAATTTCAATAAACATTGTGGAAGAAATTTATAATTTTTTACGATACTAAAGTTAGTGAAAATTTGTAATCCTTTTCTAAATTTTTTAATCCGCAAATTTCTATGATAAAAAATTAACTCATTTATTATACACTGATAGAAGGATTTTTTTATAGTTAAAAAAAATTTGTTAATATTTAACAAATTATTTATTAGAGACCACTTTTCAGTCCTTAACAAATATTTCTTAGTGTTTAAAATGATTTATTAATATTTAATAAATGAATATCAGATTCATTAAAATACAAACAAATGTTTGTTAATACTAAAAAGTGGTCTCTAATAAATGATTTGTTAATTATTAACAAATATTCTTTGATACAAATAAATCTTTTTATCAGTGTAGAATTCAAATTTATACCAAAAATACAAACGTGCCTTTTAAATTCATACGTGTATTTAAAAAAATTTTTTTTCAATAAATATGAATGAAACTATCAATTAACCTAAACAAAATGAAAGCAATAAATCAATTGCGTAACCTATTAATAAAATTCCAAAGAATAAATTTCACTGTAACTATCTAAATTTTCCTTGAATAAGAGATTTATCGATTAAAAAATAATTAAAAAGCAATAAATAAATTAAAATATCTAGAAACTAATAATCAGTTAAATAGACGATGAAAGAATGTGATATTTAACAATTAGTTGTTTCACGGCAAATCAACTAG